AAAGGCTACCAAAACCTGGCTATTCCGGCAGGCCTGGGGCTGTTGACCTCATGAATGAGGTCCAGCCCCGCCTAGATTGAATGCATGAGGTGATCTTTTAATCTGTTTTAATCTGTTTTTTTAAATCTGTTTTTTTCTTCTATTTTTAATTCTTTATTTTAAAAAAAAAATGTATTTCTGTAAACTGCCCCGAGTCCTTCGGGATTGGGCAGCCTATAAATTTATTAAATACTTAATACTTAAATACTATATATGTTACTTGATTTTTGTTGCCATTTTTATTGTTAGCTGCTTTAACATATTTTTACATGATGACAAAATTGCTTCTGAGTGAGATGGGTGGCGTATAAATTTAAAAAACAAACAAACAAAGCAGACAGCAAAATGATTCAGCCTTCTTAGGACAACGCAGCTTAACTAACCAGCTGTTTATTGGGATACCCGTGGGATTCCTCTATCATGGAAAGGCCTTTTCAAAGCCAAACAGCCCCTCCTCCTCTTCCCTGCAGGATCTGCTAAATTGTTCTGGAGGTTGGACTTTGGGAGGTCTCAATGGTGCCTCCCTCCCAGCAGCCATGTTTTGAAGAAGGCTCTTTTGCATGTGCAGTCATGTGCCATCTTTAAGGGCAGGGCTCCGCACAAAAGGTTTTGCAAGCAGAAGGCTGCGATCCAACATCTCTGGGAAGAGATGCTGGTCAGAGCAGACTTCCCCAAGAACTTCACATATCCCCCAATAAGGTGACTGAGGAAAAGCACCAGATACCGGAAGAGAGACAATGGCTCCGCAACTGGCCAAGGAGTGGGCTGTCATGCCTCACCTGTCCAAGGAATGGTAATGCTCTGGAGGAGCTTCAGACAAGTTCCTAGGAATTTGTTAGTGGATTAAGAGAGAACTGGGAGGTTTTCAGGGATGCAACTGCAAAAGGGAAGGGATAATTTGGGAAGATTAAGCACCATTAAGAAAACTCCTGTGTTTTCATTCAAGAAGGACAGCATGCGGAAAGGGGATGAAGTAAACTGGGAGGAGGAGGAGGAGGAGGAAGAAGAGTGCAGAGATGGCACAGGCAAAGCAGGAGGCAGAGCATGGAGTTACTTTACCTTGATGGGCCTGGATTTCAGGGAGCACCTTTTCTAAGACTGCTAATGCTTTTCTATGGTAATCTGCTTGGGCTTCTAATAACTGAGAACAAAACCCATATTTTAAAACAAAAGTTAGCACCGAATGAACAGAACAGCACACAGACAGAAGGATTAAGCAGGTAAAATGTATATCCCAGAACAAAGTAGGCTACCCGGGGAGCAGTTACTTACCGAGACAAAGTGTCTTGCATAGTCACCTTCTTTGGAAATGAAATTATACATATCTGCAGCAAGTTGGTCCTGGAGATTTTGGGAAGGGGTGTAGAAAAAAGAAGAGGCAAGTTAGTAACATAAGACACTGCCTCAGAGGAAACAAACAGAAGGTTAAAAAGTTATGATATTTATGTAGTTACTTACCAAGCACATCTAAATTATATTAAGATAACCAAAATATCTTTAGACTCAAGAGGTGACATGCCTTGGGGATTCTAAAGATATTTTGGTTACTTTAACATAATTTAAGTGTTTGGAAATTGAAAGTTGAAAAATTTGACACATCCTATCACTGCCTCACCCAGCAGCCCTCTGGGATAGGCACAGAAATCTGGCAGAGTAAATTAAGCAGGCAGACAGACCCTGAACCAGGCCTCCAGGATAATGAGGTTAGGACATGAAGAGAGTCAAACCACAATTCCATTGAATCCATCTTCGTGAAAATGACCACATCCTGCAAAAGGATGAGCATAAGGTCCACGAATCAATGGCCCTACCTAAACGTCCCTTTCAGAACAAGTGAATTCTGTCTCCTGCATCATTGCCTCATGTGCCTATTTTAAAATGTGCATAATCACAGCCCATTGCCTCCAATATAATTAATATAGGAAAATTGATTCAAACTTTCCACCATTTTACATGATCCAAATAATCTGTGCAAAAAGTATAAACAAAGCTACACACTATACTTTATTCAAAATTGGATAAAAGTAAGCATGCAGTGATGCTTATTAATGTTGGTGAACCCCTTTGAATTTTCAATATTTCTGAAATATAAAACAGGGATGTTGGTGGGCTTCCTTGCACAAACTGCCTGTTTCAGACCCTCCCAAGCATTTCTATAAAATGATGGTTGAGACCTTGACTCGTATGGAAGTTAAGAGAAGAATTGAGCACCCAATTCCAGTAATTCAAATATAACTTTGGACAGCAAACCTAAGCAAGCAAAAGGGTGAATTGAGATATTTTTGTTTATTTATATTTCATTCTTTCTAGACTGCCCATCTCCCCTCAAGGGGGGGCTCTGGGTGGTAAAAACCCAGCTTTATTGAAAAGCTGCTTCCTACTAGTTCTAGAGCAGGGTTTCTCAACTTCAGCAACTTTAAGATGCGTGGACTTCAACTCCCAGAATTCTTTTAAGATCTGTTATTCTTAGAATAAATAATGTATTAATTCTTTAAGATGTGTGTGGACTTTTAGGAACTGAAGTTCTTAAATTGCCGAGATTGAGGAACACCGTTCTCAGGAGACCAAGAAGAGTTATCATCTGTTTGAAGTAAGTTTCCTAGGAAGCCAGGGTTGGTATTATTAAGGCTAGGAACTGCTTCCTCTGTCCTGAATGAAATTCACCTGTTAGGCTGCTGAGAGAGGCATAAAAGACATCCATAAATAAGCTCCAGATGCAAAATCCTGTTGGTGACATTTTCAAACCAAGGACATGATCTTCTGTCCTGGGTGTTTTTACTCGGGAGTCCCAAAAGTGCTTTTCCCCAAAGGCAACTGGACTTTCTTGGGGTTTTTTCCTTTGAAAATGTTTCCAAGAAGCTTCTTCATTTCTACGTTTCAGTTCCTTTGAAGTTTCAGTTCCTTTGAAACGTTTTCAAAAGAAAAAAAAGCTCAAGATAGTCCAGCTGCTTTTTGGGAAAAAAGCACTGTTGGGACAACTATGACCATGTTACTAGGCAGGGAAATATAAAACTTCTCCAAGCATCCATCAATTCTCCATCAAAGATTGGAGCAAGAATTCACTTAAGAACGTACCTTGCATTGCTCTACTTTATTTCCAGCTTCATCCATCTCCTCCTTGAGGGAATCTATTTTAGATGGGAGCCCTTGGAAGTTAGTAGCTGAGGTTTTGTGGGCCTGGTTCCACCTGCATAAGAGAAAGCAGCCATCCAGAAAGAATTCCAGGGGAGAAAACACTTATGAAGGATCAATGGTCTTCCTAACCACCATGTGCAAGTCCTGTTCTTCCATAGTGAATCATGCAGAAGCATCTTTTGCAGAACAAGATCTTCAAATGAAAGTACTTATGAGAGGCAAGCAGGAAGTGAAGAAATAGAGTCCATAGCTGAATATATCCTCGAGACAGAACGTATGGGGAAGATGTCTGGTCTGTAACTCCAACTAAGTAAACATGTCACGCCAACTGCATGCCAGATAGAGATGGGACCTAGAAAGGCACACTATTCCTGATGTACACGGGTCCTATTCAAAGCACGACAACTTTACTGAAAGTAGAGGATCCATTCTATTGCATTCTGGCAGAGAGACGGTGTGGCTGATGGGTGAGGTCTTGTGGGAACTGGAATTCAGTTGGGTGCCCACTTGGCTATTTGAGCAGAAAGCTGTCTTCTGTGACAGATTACCATGTTATGGGAGAGTGAATGCTGTTCTAGTGAACAACAAATCCATCTCACTGGCACACCTTCTTTTACTCATTGAGCAAGCATGCCTACGGGTACATCGACTTTGGATGGGAGCTGATAATCTCCAGGACAGCTGAGCTAAGTGAGGAGACCTGGCAGACTGTCTCCCTTCCCAAGGTACTGAGTGGATGACAAAATCCGGAAGACTGGATGTGGCCTGATAAATGTACCGATAAATGAGAATATTTGTAGCTCACGGTTAAAATGGCGTTCTCTGGGCTTGGTTGTTTTCTCTCTGCAGATGTTTCATTACCCAAATTTGGTGCCCTGATGATGTTACCTAGTTTGGGTAATGAAACTAGTTGGATAAATCAAGTTGATTTAAATCAAATCCACCCTGGTAATGAAACATCTGCAATAAAACCAGCCAAGCTCAGAGAGCACCAAGGACTCCTCAGGTCAACTCTGGAGCAGATGGGCTTGCAAGGAAGGGGGACTGAGACCTCCTGAGCATAAAAAGGAAGAGGAGAGTTGTACTATACCGAGCTCTTGCAGAATCCCAGTCTAGGACTAGCTTAGCAAGCTGCTTCCTCTGTTTCTGAATATTGGGGATTTCCATCTGTAAGAAGACACAACAGGAAACCGACATTTGACACTAACTATACAACCATTATATTTATCAAACAACCCCCCTCCTCCAGGTTGCTGCTTTTATTACTCTTCCTGGTAAGAAAGGGGATGCCCCTGGGACAGGACCGATGGTCACAGCTGGAGCCACTTACCTCGCTGAGTTGATTCAGTGGTTCCAAAACATCCCTTTCAACCTGCATCTCGTGGTGAGAGAGTTCCATTGCAAGTTTATTCTCTGCTTCTCCACAAGCCTCCAGCATTTTCCTACAAACAAAAGAAACCGTCTTTGGCTTCATTCGGTTTGCCCAAAGGAGTGGAAGGAGCCATTCCCCCAGCAAAATAAAGCACATGAACTTGTTACAATTCTCCAGCCATTTCTCAAGAAGCTCCGGACGGTGTGAATGGATGGGAGAACCTTTATTCTCACAGGTGCCTGTGGGAAAAGGAGAGTCTAAGGGAGGGTGAAAGGAACCATCCAGACTGTGCTAAGCAAGCTCTCTTCCCCCGGCTGGAATCATCACACGGGAATGGATGTAGAGGTACAAGAGGTTTCTGCCCCTCTGGGTTTCAAAAGGGTGGAAAAATATGGTCTGCTGCATATACAGGTAGTTCTCGACTTCCAACACTTCACTGAGTGACTGAAGTTGCAAAGGCACTGAAAAAAGTGACATGACCATTTTTACGCTTATAACCATTGTAGTCTCCCCTTGGCCACACGATCAGAATTAAAATGCTTAGAATTGGCTCATATTTATGATGGTTGCAGTGACCCAGGGTCATGTGATCACCTTTTGTGACCTTCTGACAAGCAAAGTCAATGGGAAAGCCAGATTCACTTAACAAAGGTCTTACCAACTTAATAACTGCAGTGATTTACTTAACTGGCAAGAAATGTTGTAAAATGGGGCAAAACTCAATTAACAACTGTCTTGCTTAGCAACATAAATTCTGGGCTTAAATGTGGTTTTAAGATGAGGACTCCCTGTTCAGGGACAAGAGGAAATCAGGCTGCCCTTTAGCCAAGAGAAAGACCTCTTAGGCATCCAGGGTTGTTCACTTACAACTGCTGAGCTGTTTTTCTGGCTGGGCTGAACCTCCACGACACAATTACAATTGAAGACATTAAAACAATAAATATAACAGCAACCTCCAATAAGAAACGGAGGAAAACTGTGAAAATAGCCAGCAACTTCAATCCCAAATGAAGAGAATGGCGTTTATTAACAGCCCACAATGTGAGTGAATAAGTACCAGTCCAATTTCTCCTTTTCATCCACAGTCTTTGCTGCTGGGGCATCTAAAGGGCCTCAGAGGACCTCTTAAAGTGAAAGTCGGCCTTGAGGCATTCTGCATGTGCGTGTGTGTGTGTGTGTAGGTACCTTGTCTTTGGGGCATGCAATGCTTCGAGCCACTTGCCGTTTTGCTACACGGAAACAGCTTCTTCCTCTAAGAATCCATGACTGGAAGATGGATTCTTCAGCAACTGTGTTTAGTGAGTGTACAGGGCTGAAAGGAGAAAGGGAGCCTGGCCCTCAGAGGCGGCACCGTCTCCATGTGCGAAGAGGCCAAGGGTGACGGGCAGATCCAGAAAGGAGCTTCAGCTCTTACCCCAGAAGCGTTTCCTCACTGAGCTGCTGGGCGCCTTCCTGCATGTTCTGAGCAAACGTCGTGAGGGGAAGCTTCTTCTGCAAAGGAAAAGAAAGGCAGCTCCTAGCAAGGTAACTCTTCCAAACCTCTAACAGTCAGGAGGAAACATGGCACCTGCCCGCCCACCTGCAGAACCTGAGGAAGAAATCAGGGAGGAACGAAAGCTCAGCTCTGATGGCTGCACAGAGACGTTGGGAAATGTCAGCCTGAGAAAGGAAGATCAACGTGGGGCCTGTAAAGGAGACGCTCTGCGCGTCTCTCCTGGCGAAGCCCTGGGTTGCCCTGCCAATGGAAGCAGGCCTTCCTGCTGGGCTCTCAAAGCTGCCCTGTGAGTCAGAAACAAGGGGCCAGAGCTGCTCTCTGGTGAGAAGGAAGCCGCTGTGCACAGGAGAGGCTGGGCTGGGTGAGTGCTTGTGGGGGTCACCTCGCATGAAGCTGGGAGCCCATGCAAAGCACCTGGGAAATGGCGGAGGCTCTCTTTGTGGGATTTCTTTCTCTATTTGTTATTTTTGGCTTCGTATTTTGGGGTGGCTGCTTCTTCTTCTTTCTTGCATGTTAGAGCAATACAAAGAAGTAAACAAACAAACAAACAAACAAAAACAACACTAAGGACAGTCTCGCCATCCTGTCCATTGAGCCAAGGTGGCACAATACTTAGAGTAAAGTACTGCAGGCTACTTCAGCTGACTTCTAGCTGCAGTTTGGTAGTTCAAATCTCACCGGCTCAAGGCTGACTCAGCCTTCCCTCCTTTCGAGGTGGGCAAAATGAGGAGCCAGATTGTTGGAGGCAAGAGGCTGACTCTGTACGGTGCTTAGAGAGGGCTGTAAAAGGACTGTGAAGAGGTATATAAGTCTAAGTACTATTGCTAACCTGCAGGAAGAAAGGAAGCACAGACGCACAGGAAGGAGCTTGAGAGGGGAAATCTACAGGGAAGGGCTACTCACGTGTCTCTTTTCAGCCTCAGTTCCATACTGTCCTTGCAAACACAACACCAGCCGCTTACAGGAATTGTGGCAAACGGATCTCACGTTGTCAAGACGCCGCTCGATCTGGCCGGAGAGGAAACAAGACAGGATAAAGCAAGGCATGTTGTTAAATGAACAATTGTCAGTCGAGGATACCTAAGCTATGCAGCTACATAATACTCCTTTCTCAGTCCTATGTACCATGCGTGCACGTTGAGCTGCATTCCATACACAATCACATGCTCACATTTTTATTTAGAACTTTAAAGTATTTGGTGAGAGCCACTTTGGTGAAGTTAGGAGGAAGTGAGTTCCAGGCCTTCCTAAGGCATGAAAGCCAGCTGGGTGACTTTGGGTCACTCACTGTCACAGAGTCGTTGTTAGGAGAAAAATAGGGGCAGGAGGATTAAGTAGGTTCGCCACCATGCATTGAATAAAGTATGTTGAAAGGCCAGGCTGTAATAATATACAAAGCCAATACTGGCGGTTGTTGACTTACGGCCACAATTGAGCCCAAAATTTCTGTTGTTAAGCAAGACAGTTGTTAAGTGAATTTTGCCCCATTTTACGACCTTTCTTGCCAGAGTTGTTCAGTGAATCACTGGGGTTGTTAAGTCAAGTGAATCTCGCTTCCCCATTGACTTTCTTTGTCAGACAGTCACAAAAGGGGATCGCATGACACACACATACACCCCGGACACTGCAACTGTCATAAATATGAGTCAATTGCCAAATGGCAGAATTTTAATCATGTGACCATGGGGATGCTGCAACAGTCACTTTTTTCAGTGCTGTTGTAACTTTGAACGGCCACTAAATGAAGTGTTGTTGAGGACTATATGTACACTATAATAATAATATACTATATTGACGTTATGACATCCTAGGTTATTGGAGGGAAATTGATGCATATGAAGACCAACAGCAGCTGGAGAACTGGCAGCTGTGACTTCATACTTTGTGAATAGAAGAAGAAGAAGAAGAAGAAGAAGAAGAAGAAGAAGA